CGCTGGCAGTCAATGCTCCTCCTCGCACTCCCCACCCCCTCCTCTCCCATCTCCCCCTTCCCCTTCCCCTCCCCCCCCCCCTACCCCTCCCTACCCCACCACCCCGCAATAACACCCTCGCGGCAAATCGGCCCCCCATCCAGCCCCCTCTCCTCATCAACAAGGACAAATTCGTCGTCGACGAGCACAGTGTGCTTTTGTTCGGGCGGCGGGTTGTAGGCTGGGTGGGAGTGGCGGGTGGAGAGGGCGGAGGTGGTGCATGGGAGGTAGTCGGTTGGGGCGAGGATGTGGTGGAGGATGCTGGTTAGGAGGGAGGCAAGTTGAAGTTTGTGGGATTTTGGGCCGTGGGTTGGGCTGTGGGAGTTGTGTGTGTTTGGTTTGAAGAGGGTGTGTTGCATTGTGTTTTATTATATTTTCTTCTTCTTTTTTTTTTTCGTTTGGCTTGGTTTGGGGGCGTGGTGGGGTGTGGGATTTTTGTGGTGGGGGTGAGGGGGTTTTGTTGCCGGGCTGGTTGGGTGGGGTTGTGTGTGTTTGTGGGGGTAGGTTGGATGGGTAGGTGTGAAGGAATGGTGTTTGTGGTGAAGATGGTGTTGTTGTTTACCAACTAGGTATCGGTACCGGTATACCACAAAGCATCGACAATCCTGACATCTCCCTGTATCCGTGTGTTTGTGTGTGAGAGACAGTAAACACCACCAAGCCAACCCCCCAACTCCATGATATACCTACCGTGTTGCACACCCAACACCCAACACCCACAATACAACCACACCACACCATGAACTGACAATCACCCAACCCCCCCGTCTCAAAATAAACACAACCACAACCAAAAACCCCACGCCCTCACACGAGCCCCAAACACCCAGCACATGCACGCGCCGGTGGCGAGACCAAGTGGCGTGAGGAGAACAGGGAAGATCGGGCGACAAGATCGCACGCCTGCGCAAACGCAACCCAACCCAACCCAACGCAAACCCAACGCAACCCCAATCAATCTCCCAGACGTCCCAACCACAACCTCCTCGAAACAGAAGAACAAAAAAAAAGGTTTGATGCATGCTGTGGCACGACATGTCCCATGTGCGCCAGGAAATGGACATCTAATGACATGTGCATGCATACTACAGCACATTCTCACCGAGTAGCTATCCGGACGAAACATCCCACCCTCGCCTCAGGTGCTGGATTGATTTCCCCGGTGCGAAAGAGAATCGCATGGGCTGTGCAATCGATAGACCTAGAGAAGAGAGGAGTGGAATGGAAATAGGGCTCGTTATTTGTGGGGCGGGGGTTGGGGGTTGTGTGATTAGGGTGTGAGATTTGTGGCTGGGGCATGGGGGAGGGGGATATAGATGGATGGATGAGTGCCTGATGGGTGGGAAGGTTCCGAGGATTTGTTCCTAGGCATGTACAGGTATCGTAGATAAGGCTGTTGTTTCTTTGGTAATGCAGACTCGAACCTTTTTTTCCCATGTGGAGGCTAATCATCATCATCATCATCATCATCACAAGCACAACATCTATACATCTATTTTTCAATTCCTTCTCTCTCCAACTACTTCAACCCAACCCCCACAAAACAAACACCCTCGAATCGAAGCTTCCGTCATTCGACCCTGCCCACTGCACACCCCAGACCCAACAAACCCGTTTGAAAAAAAAAAACCCCCGCGCGCAATACAAAACCCACATTGTCCGCCCCTAATGTTGGCGCGGTGAGCTGATCCCAGCGCATGCGGCATGCTTTGTGTACTATGTGAGGTAAGT